CTCTAATACAGGGATTGGTGCTGCCCACAGTGAGCTGAGTCCATGTACAACTAAGCAAATACCCTATCCCCTACCATCATCACACAGGTCAACCAGATCTAGATAATACTTCAATACGACTCTTTCCAGGTGATTGTATACTGTGGCAAGTTGACATTTAAAACTAACCATCACAGTGACCAATGGCATTTTTCTAAGTTTTTACCATCTCCAGTTCAGAAATACTCACCAATGTCTCTCAGTGAATGACATAAGAAAAAGGAGGGTAATCGTCTCAGGGTCTCTACCTCAAAACTGGAATGTTAAGCTCTGTAATGTGCTTATCTTTCTTAAATAAGAAATTCTTGGAATTCATTAACAAGTAAATTAATCTTCATCTTATCAGCTAGTACATCTAAAGATGCTGAGGCTACATCTAATATGCTTGAGGATTGCATTAGACGAATGACAGGTCATTTGGCCTACGAAAATGCTTCTAATATGATTTCTCCACCGTCGTTCTGTCTTATTGCAGCCGGGGTAATGAAAACAGACTGACTCACCGGCGGCAGACGGTTCTTCGTGAGAAGGGAAGAAGGTTGGCTAATCGAGGACCAGCATACATGTTTAATGATCACTCGACAAGCCTGTCTATTGAGGAAGAACGCTTTCTAGATGCAGCTGAATATGGCAACATCCCAGTGGTGCGGAAGATGCTAGAAGAATGTCTCTCCCTCAATGTTAACTGTGTGGATTACATGGGTCAGAATGCCCTACAGTTGGCAGTGGCCAATGAGCACCTGGAAATTACAGAGCTGTTACTCAAGAAGGAAAACCTGTCTCGAGTTGGGGATGCTTTACTCTTAGCTATTAGTAAAGGTTATGTACGGATTGTGGAGGCAATCCTCAATCATCCAGCTTTTGCTGAAGGCAAGAGGTTAGCAACAAGCCCCAGCCAGTCTGAACTCCAGCAAGATGACTTTTATGCTTATGATGAAGATGGGACACGGTTCTCCCATGATGTGACCCCAATCATCCTGGCTGCCCATTGCCAGGAATATGAAATTGTGCATACCCTCCTGAGAAAGGGTGCTCGGATTGAACGGCCTCATGATTACTTCTGCAAGTGTACAGAATGCAGCCAGAAGCAAAAGCATGACTCCTTCAGCCACTCTAGATCCAGGATCAATGCCTACAAAGGCTTGGCAAGTCCAGCATACCTGTCATTGTCCAGCGAAGATCCAGTCATGACAGCTTTAGAACTTAGCAATGAGCTAGCAGTACTTGCCAACATTGAGAAAGAGTTCAAGGTAGGTCACTCACAAAGTTCAAGTACTAAGTAGATATATAAGCAATGTGCTGTAAAATATCAGAGCAAGGAATATATAATGCCTACCAGGTTTCAGCAAAGTTCTGTAGAAGCTGTCATTTTAGCTATGTGTGGAAGAGTTGATAGGAGTTTGGAAGGCTCAGAAAAAGGGAAAGTAAAGCCTAGGTGTGTTTCTATAATGTGCTAATTACTGTGCATGTTGGGACTTTTTGGAGATGTGTAGGTGGGGAGGAGATATGTTTGTGCTGTGTGTGTTTATGTGAATGTACACAAATGGATGTATGTGCATATGTGTGTATATGGAGCCAACAGCTGTCGTTGGGTATCTTCCTTAATCAGTCTCTACCTTATTGTTTGAGACAGGATCTCTCACTGAACCTGGGTCTCATTAATACAGCTAAATGTCTGGATAATGAGCTTCAGGTATCCAGTATCTAAAACTAGTGCTGGAATTACAGACATGTATCAGTGTGCAGTTTTTTCTTTTTTAACAACATGTTCCAGGGATCTCAATTAAAGTACTAGTTCTTGTACAGCAGGGACTTTATTGACTGAACCATTTTCCCAGCCACAATTTTATGTTTCCTTCAGTAAGTATAATTATTGTTGTAATGATCTGCTTTCTGTCAGATAGTTTGCATTTATCACAGTCATGAGTGGGTATTCTTTTCTATTCTACACAAGGACTGGTGGATAGGATTGTTTAGTAGTACTTGAATTCAACAACTGGTGAAGACAGAGCTGGGGTCAGAATACAGGCTTCCTCTAATTTCCAGCTTCCTTATATTGTATATAGTACACAGTAAAACATGCCACTGCATCAGAAAGATGAACAAGGCACAATTGGAGAGGCAGTACATATGTGAACGAACATGACATAAAGTAAAGGGGGACTGTTAGATAGAGCTTGGGCCATTATGCTATAGAAGTTAAGGAGAAAGATTATATTCCTCTATGTTTCAGCCAATTTTCATGTGAAGTGGCACTTCAGCTATGTGTGGAAGAATGAATGGGATTTTGGAAGGCTGAGGGTGATAGAAAAGATTCCACAGAACAGTTTTGTATACATGAATAAAGCAGGTCTGCTGAGCTTTAAACTGACTCTTACTAGAAGTGTCTGGGGAAAGATGTGGTGTCAGATCCATGTGTCTATGTGGTCCCTGCTGTATGTGGAGAGGATAACAGCTCAGACTCCAAGCCAAAGAGCATCCTCACACTGCAGAGCTTCCTCCATGGGTTATCCAGTCTGATTGTGTTCATGTTTTTCTGACCTGTCATGTCATGACTATTTGTGTATATGTATGTCGTGTATATGTGTGTTTATATGCAAATGCATGTATGTGAATATGCATGTGTTCATGAACATGTGATGCCCAGAGGTTGACTTTGAGTGTCTTCCTCAGTCACTGTCAACATTAGTTTTTTTGTGTGTGTCTATGTGTCATGGCACGTGTCTGGAGGTCAGACACCAATTTTTGAGAGTTGATTCTCTCCTTTTATTGTGTGGATTCTGAGGACTAAACATAGTTTGTAAGGTTTGGTGACAAGGATCTTTACTTGCTGACCCATCTCATAGGCCCTTGGCTTTGACACAGGGTCTCTCACTGTATCTGCAGCCCCCGTATGTGGCTAGACTGGTAGTTCAGAGAATTCCCAGGATTTGCCTGCCTCTGCCCCCTTAGCACTGGAATTAAAGGCTTGGACTTTTATGTTGGAGCTGGGATTGAGCTGAGGTCTTCAAGTCTGTGCTGCAAACACTTTATATGCCACTGAGCTATCATTATTGTCCACTTTACCAAATACATGCAGCTCTGAATCAAGTCATTTCATCAAACTCAGTGTTTCATACGAGTATATGATAATGTAATCTTTTCTATTCCATGTGGTCTCTATACTGCACACCTTTGGAGACTGTGGTACAGTCTCTCCTGGTTAGGTCTTTGGTGTCACTATTTTTGAACACAGGACATGGGGGAGATAAAACTGGAGAAATGAAAGGATTTATCATACTGTCAGGAAGTGTATAGAATTTAAAACTTAAAAACTGCCTATTTCTAGAAAATTTCCATCCAATTAGTATTTTCTGACAATTCTTGAAAACTGGAATTTGAAATTTCAGAAGGCAAAATCCATGGAAGGGTCCTACACTCAGTGGTCCTTGGTGTTAACCTTCCTTACCTCAGTCTTGCTGGCAGCTCAGTCAAGAAAGATGTTTTCTCTGGCAATGATGGATAATGAAGATGCAACGTATATTAAAAACCATCTTGATTCTTACTGCTAAACTTGACCACACACGTACACTTTAGCATTTTGAAACCTTTTTATTGGTTCTTTGTGAATTTCCCATCATGCACACCTCCAGTCTCACTCATCTCCCCTTGCCCTCATACCCACCCTCCAACACTGCAGCCTCTCACCCAACAGAGGAAAGAAATCTTGTAGAGGCTGTAGTGTGTCACAGTGTGTCCCACAGTATACCTTTTTGGCCACACTTTGTTTTGCAAATGTTCACTGAATGATTGCATTGGCGTCTGCTACTCTGTCAATCCTGGAGCATCACTGGGACTCCTCTTGTTTTGTTGCCTGGTGTCATGCAGACAACAAAGTTAGTTTTGAATCTGTGTGACCTTCTCCTTTATGAACTGCAGCAGCTCATTGGTGGTGTAGATCTTGGGGTGGGCCAATTCAAAGCCATGAGTCTAGGCCTAAAATGTATCTGAGCTGGTGGGCTCACCCACTTTCTCTCCTGCTGTCACAGAAGGCCAGCTTACATCTGGGGCCATTTCTACTCTGATGCCCAGGTGAGGTTCAGGCCTGCTCTCCCAGGTACTGTAGTAGGTGAGGGTCAAAGTTAGCTCTCTGCTCTCATGACCCAAGGGCTAGCTCTCTCACCTGCCTCAGGTGGCAAAAGGCAAGAGCAGGGGAGGGCATCTCTCCTTTGCCTATGCTGCCTTACAGCAGACAACTTGCAGGACCAGCCATCCCCTCCATCCTTACACTCCCAGGCCCACTCATCCACGTCCCTGCCATTCGGGTCACCTTTTCTCTGCTGCCCAGGTGAAGTGCAGGGCCTGCTCTCCTGCTTTTAGGACCCAGTTGGGGCCAACTCTCCTGCCCACCACCCATGATGAGAGCAAAAAGAAGGAGAAGAGAGCTTTTCCTCTATGATGCCACCATTCAGGAGACAAGAGGTAGGGCTAGCTCTCCCACTATGCCTAGATGAGGGGTGAGGCCAGTTCTGTACAGCCCTCAGACATCAAGATGTTCCTAGGCAGCAGCCCAGACTAGGGACCTCTGCCTGATCTTTGGAGCTAACAGACCACTGCTGCTACAGAAGCCACATCACAGACTGAGACATAGCCCCTGGTGGCAGCACAGGCCAGAATCCCAGGTGGTATCACCAGTGACTCTCGTGAGGCTGTTCCTCACTATCCTTGAGTCTCCAGTTCCATCTCCCTTCCCTATGTCTACATCTTTTGTTTCTCTTGTTTTCCCATTTCTCCATTACTTACTTTCTCCTCTTAGTGGCGCCTGGTCTCCGAGTGTCTGGAGTCATCAGGAGTGGTCTCAGGAGTGCTATGTTTTGCTCATGCATTATGGCACCTGTCAGGGGTCATCTCAGGCCTGGTCTGTTCCCCCAGGCCTTGCAGTGATGGACTGATGGTTGTCTCAGGCTTGTTTTTTTCAGGGAACATTTAGGCTACTAAACATTCAGGTGTTCATAGGTCATAACATTGACCATACATGCAACCTCTCTTCTCTCTGCTGCCCACTGACATACATGTGATGTGGCAATCACACCTGTAACACACCTAGGGGCAGGTGATAGCATTTTAGCACTAGTCACACTCATCTCTATCGCCGAGCCTAATTTTCAGCAGACAGATGAAGTGTGGGAAATTTAGGGCATCCATTAATGTTTATGGTAACATCATTAAAAGGGGGATCCTTTATTACTAGGAACACACGATATTTTACAAACAAATAAAATATCTTATCTCAAGAATAATTCGAGGTCTTGACTATTGTAAGTTTGACAGAATTAAGCCTTGGCAGTGGACATAAGAATTAGTAAGCAATCAAGCAAACAAATACACAAACACAAAACCAAAAATGGAAGACCAGAACTTTTATTTTAATACTATAGAAGAGCAGATATTCCTGGCTCTACTCTAAGCTCAAACCCAGAGTGAGAAATTTCAAAGGGAGAGATCAGTACAGGATGGCCTTGTTGACAAATACACGCCCCTAGTGTCCATAGTTCATTGGTGTTGCCATATGTTTCTGTAAGTCTGGTCGGTTGACTCTTTTCTGAACCTTGCTACCTTGTGGGTTGCTTGTAGTAACACAATGATTCATTTTAGGCCCCCACTTCCCCATTCATTTCTTTTGTGCCGTAAGGAGCATCAGCATCCCTGTTGTCCTGAAGAGAGTTTTCCTGCAGCTTTTTCCAGCTCTGTTATGTCTCCCTAGAGGTCTGTGCCATGCACATGGTTCTCCAGACGCCTCTGCTGCAGAGAGGGGAAAGAGACTAGCAGAGGAGCTACTGCTGTGCCTATTTTTAAACCATTGCTATGTTTTTCTGTAAAATGTTTAAAAACGTCTGGCTTTACCTGCTTGAAAGATAAATATCTTCCAAGAAACCGGGCTGAATTGGGAAGTAGTATTTGTCAGTATTAAGGTATTGTGCCTATTATCAGACCTTATAGGGGAACAAAGGGTGTCACTTACTTAAGATATAACCTGCAAGATGGAGTCATACACCAGGGACACAGAGCTGAGGTCCTGGCTGACCAATCAGAAAGGAGAACATGTACTCTTGTTGACATGTATGAATTATTTTAAGTTATTTTCATTCTGACTTCATGACAGAGCAGTGCTCACTAGGAGACCAGACAAGGAGCTGCCATTTCCTACCTCATACCTGGGAAGCAGCAAGCAGCAATTCAGATAGAGTGATGCTTTATGTCCTTCCGTGCTCCACTACATTCACCAGCCAAGGTTGCCGAGTGTATGCCTCACACTATGCCAGCTTGGGTAGACTCAAGAGAGAAGTAAGATATGGCACTTGTCTGGAAACATACTCAAATTAACTCACAAAAAACCCCAAACGAAAAAACCAGTAGCTTTTCTACACACCAATGAATACCCGTGCTGAGAAGCAGACCATGCACACTCTCCTATTCACAACAATCTCAAAATACACACCTAAGAATAAACCTAACCTCGGAGGTGAAAGACTTCTATGAAGAGAACTTTAACTATCTGAAGGGAGAAACCGAGGAGGACAATAAAATTGAAACCGTTCACACTCATTCATTGACAGATTCAATAACGGAAAAATGACCATTTTACCAAAAGTAGGTCCCATCTTAACAACTATGGAGAGAGGGCCTGGGAATGCGCCCCTCATTAGTTACTCAGTACAAATTGTTATTCCTAGAAAAATACATGCAGCCAACAGAGGTGATTCACAGGCCGTATTTATGCCTTTATTTATTCAATATATGTAACAACAATGGTTAATGCCCCATGAATTTGGGAGAGAATGTGAAGGGTAAATGGAGGCAGTAGGGAAAAGGAGAGGTGAAAATTCTGTAATTATATTTTAGTTGCCTGGAAATGGGGAACTACGTGAGTCTGTTGAAGAGAGACAGATGTGCAAACAAATACAGCATCATTCTGCATGCATACCCATCTTGTGCATAAGCAGGCATTTTCTTTTGCATTTCCTGCTGAAGTGTGAAGTGAATGGATAGAGGAAGTCTCTTTCCAACAGATTTTAGGTCTCCGACAGTTCACAGCTACAGAAAGGTTTATCAGGACAGTCTGCTTCAGGTGGTCTGGTACCCTCCACATCTCTTGCATGTCTTTTTCTTTCTTGATCCTTCAGCCTCACAGCAGCTGTAGAACCTGGAAGAGTCAATGCTGATCACCAAAACCTCCATTAGTGAAAATGACAGGACAGTTGGTGGCATCTGACGGATCTCAAAGAATGTGTTTTCCTAATTCTTAGTTGAAATCTTATCTAACTCAGTTTTACATTCCCCAAAGGGTAGAGACTGTTCATCTCTTGCTCTTCTTGAATTGATTACAGCAGAGCTGTGATGAGTTGGCCCTTTATTAATCGTTCTCCTAAAGATCAGGATAGTCCCAGACTGAAATCAGTTCCTATAGCACGACTGGGCACTTGTCATTATCTGGAGAATAATATTCTGCCTTAATCCTGATCTTCAGGTACATTCCCCCTTTAAAGTCTCCTAGTTTAGCAAGAAATGGTCTTGCTAGGTCTTCTAGATTAGCAACATGGTGCGGTGCCCTCAAAGGCAATGAATGAATTCGGGGTCAAACAGATTTATATCACTGTCAGATATCAACAGTTACTGAGTGAATGATTTGGGATACATTCTTTGCCCTCAGCAAGATTATATGGCAAATAAGTAGGATTGTATCTACCTGCTCTACCTCAGGTTTTGATGACAGGATTTTGGTTGACATTTGGTGATATAAAGAAAACCTTATTTCAGGGTAAGAAAATAAACAGGAAGGAAGCATTGGGAAGACACAATGAACATGTGAAGAGATAATGTCAGAGGACAGCAGCAGTTTATGCTCACTGAAATATGACCTTCATCCTGATTTCTTTCCAGCAGCACATTAGTTCCTTGGAAGGATATAATAGCACAGTTAAAGTTTCTCCATTAAATACTGTTTGGTTTTGAAACTGTCTCACTGTATAGCTCACACTGTTCTGGAGCTCATCACCCCTCTGCTTCTGCCTCTCATGTGCTGGGATTAAAGGTACCCTCCACAACTGCAGGGACTCCCCTGAGCCTGCAGGTACTCACATATACCTCAGGTACTACACACACACACACACACACACACACACACACACACACACACACACACCTGCAACTACCCACATATAAACCTGCAGCTATCCACCACACATCTGAAGGTACTATCCCTCCATACCTGCAGGTAAGCATGCATGCATACCTGAAAGTCCCCCACCACACACACACACACACACACACACACACACACACACACACACACCTAAATTTTTTCTTCTCTAAAGAGAATCTGAGTTCTCAGAATCCATAGATAGATCCTATATTTTGATCCTGTGCTGGATTCATAGTATAAGAAATGATAATTCTATAAAAATAATTGATAAGTTAAAAATGGTGAAACACATCTGTATTCCCAGCATCAGAGAGGTGAGGGCAGAGGATCAGGAGGTGTTTGAGGATCAGTCTCAAAAAATAACAACAAAAAAGAAAGAAAGAAAGAACGAAAGGAAGAAAGAAAGAAAGAAAGCTAGAAAGGAGAAAAAGAAAGAAGGTAATTGTCAAGTGTGTGCTTGCTTCTTATGTCACCTTTCTAGAAGTCTTTTGGCATTCTTAAGTATGTATTTTGTACCTTGATGGTGAAATTATACCACATAGGACAGAGTCTTTGCAAAGTATAGAAGTCATGTTGTGGAGGTTTCTTCCACATTAGTTGGTGAGTTTATCACAGCAAAACTTTTTAAAATAGCTTTGGTAATTCTTTGGGCAGATATCATTATTTTAGAATCTAGAGAAAATTCTTCATGGTGGTAAAATATCCTAGAGAGCTGACAGAAAAGTAGGATCAAAATATATTTAGAATAAAATACAGTGAAAGTAAGCTGGGCATGGCTGCTCATGCTGACTGCAGCACTTGGGAAACGAATGTGGAAGCTTGCTGTAAATTTGAGACCAGCAAGTTTTATATCAGCGTATCATACAGTGTGAGACCCTTGTCTCAAAACAAAACAAGTCAGGTGTACTGCAACTCAAATTTGATTTTTCCTCTTATCTGAAAATTCCTGCCACCCATGGAATATAAGTTAGCTCTTCTCGTTTTAACCATACTTCTCTTTCCTAGAATGACTACAGGAAGCTGTCTATGCAGTGCAAGGATTTCGTTGTTGGTCTCCTAGACCTCTGCAGAAATACGGAGGAAGTTGAGGCCATCCTCAATGGGGATGCGGAGACTCGCCAGCCTGGGGACCTTGGCCGTCCGAATCTCAGTCGTTTAAAACTTGCTATTAAATATGAAGTTAAAAAAGTAAGGTCGGGCATTGTTGCTTCAGTTTGTGTGCATGGATATGCCCAGCTGGATAGATCAGGGGGTTTCTAACTGACAGTTACAGTAGATGGGGTCTCAAGAAAGCATATAGTGAGGCACGGAACCCAGAAGGCTGGCCAGTCATTAAAATCCTGGAGTCCTTAGAGGTAGACCATCACGGTCAGTGCAATTTTGATTGACTCAGGTAATAACAACACTGTCTCTGTATAAAACCCTAAGGCATTGTCTGTATGAAGGAAACGAAGTCACAATATTTCAGATTTCAGTTTTCCTGGTGATTGTTAGTTTTCAATTTGGACCAGCAGTTTCAATTCCTTTTTCTGTTTTAATCCTTCCAGGATCTTTCTAGAATATTTTTTAGGTTCTTCTTTAGACAGAGAACCCTACTCCTCTGAAAACTTTCCTAGGACATGAAGACTTTTTTAGTTTTACTTATTTCATTTACTTATTATGTGTGAGTACACATGCACATGTGTATGCTGGATGAAACCAGAAAGGGGTTGGATCCTGGGGAACTAAACTCTGTTCTTCTGAAAGAGCATCAAGTGCTCTTAAGCACAGAACCATCTCTCCAGCCATTAACAAGCTACTAAATATAGTTCTTTTTATATATAAAATAAAAGCACTATCTATTTATAGTTATTATTCAAAATAGTCCTGCTACCTCTTAACCTGCCAGCTAACCACAGAGAGTAACTAGCC